ATATATATATATATATATATATATATATATATATATATATACATATATATATATATATATATATATATATATATATATATATATATATATATAGTTCTAATACATTATACGAACAGACTATACACCATGATACAAAAATACAATCGGGATATGCGCAATATTTTGGATAGACAAACACACTCGAGATAAACTCAATATATGCTAAGGATACACTATCACACTTATGATACAATTTTATATTCAACTTTTATACATTGAGTAATATAATATATATACAACTTTTATACAAAATTATAATATAATTGTCGTGTATATACAACTTTATATACCTGTATATATACTGCCAAACTTAGAATATAATGTATATACAACTTTTATATATTGCATAACATTATATATACGGTACTTATACAAAATTATTATATAATTATCATGTATATACAACTTTATATACGTGTATATATAATTTTTATGCACTGTATAACTATGTATATACAACACTTATACAAAATTACAAATACAAATACCGTCCAACCACCGCTATTAAATTCAAACCCACCACTAATACCCACTTCAAAATATCTTCAAGAAGAAGAAGAAGAAGAAGAAGAAGAAGAAGAAGAAGAAGAAGAAGAAGAAGAAGAAGAAGAAGAAGAGTACGCAAATAAAGTATACACAACTTGACCATAGAATCTCACATTCTCACAAAAATTAACATGACCACCAACATACACCATCAACAACATGCAGAGCTTGACCAGAAAATCTCATTCATTCTACTTTCACTCCCAATATCATTCACGTAGTATTAACCGATTTTTTTTAGTTAAGACTTAATTTGAAATTTCGGCAATTTTTTTAGGCACTTAGATAAAATTCTCAAAAAATACTCGTAGAAAGAATGGGGAGAGATTAAATAAAAATAGCTAAATGGACAAATATAACCGTCAAAGAAGAGGGAAAGGGATTAGATGAGAAGTGGTGATGGATAAATGTTGTCCAAGTCCAGACAAATAGCTATGTAAAACCATGCGCTATGTTAGGAAAAGGTAAGAGATAAAATATAAAAAGTATCAAAAAATAAAAGTAGAACTAAAAAAAATAATGTGGGAGTAAAATGGATTGAAAGGTGAAATGTATAGAAAGTGTAAAAAGCCAAGTGCAAAGTCGTAGGAAAGAGAAAATGAGTGGGTATTGCGAAGGAAAAATATATAGGAAAGACAAAAAAAAGTTGTACCAATTTGCCTTTGTCTTGGTTTTATCTGATGGGCTATAACTTC